AAATATAGTTTTTTTTTATTTGTTTTCTATTTTTTTTAATTTGAACGTAGGATTTATTTTGGCAGTTAATTTTATTATAAATAATTATAAACACAATGTATAACTTTTAAATTATTTTTTATTATAATAATAATATATTATTAGAAAAGTGTCGGTTGCAGGTTAACCATCGAATGTTTGTTTTCATCTTAATTTTTCACGTTAAATTGTTAAATATTTTATTATTTAGGAATCTTACAACAAAGCAGCACGAAAAAATGAAAGAGCGTGCGTCGCGACTGACGCGCATACGTTTACTATGGGACATTTGAAAATTTCATAGTCACAATTTTAAGTTTAAACCGAGTACACGTGACTAAATGTCAAATTTTTTTTATAAATTTTTATTGTCGACTGAACAACAGACATTTTACTATGGAACTATAATGAAAAGTTTTAAGCACACTCACAGTTTTTGTTCAGTCAGTTTACGAAAATTTTTTATATATGTTTATGTAACAGTTACATGGTCAAATTTACTATGGTCCCTAGTAAATATTGATTGGTACAATATGATATTCTTAAATTTTTATGGTAATATTTTGAATTGAGTCATTAAGGTTCAGTCTTATTATGTATGCATAGTAAATTTCTACAGAAATTTCTCACCGTGTAAATCCTTCTATCAGTGTACAAAACCAGCTTACTCACTTTATCCAAAAATCTCAAAAGTAACGTAAATGATTATTTTAATCATTTATTACATTGTTTTTGTATAAAAAAAAATCTTAAAAACTCATTAAATTGAATAATTATTGTAATTACACCGGCGAGAATTCAACACCTGCGACAGAAGTGACTGTTGATGCCATTTTGGAAAGATAGCCAGCATTCCTACCTTAACAACCAGACTTTTTAAATCTTAAGATGGCTGGCAAAAGCGCGAAACGAACTATTATCTGAATTTAAGAAGAGGTCGCTTTTAACAATTCTGTAGTAAATGAAATACAATAACATTGTTTAAAAGACATTAAATGTTGAAATAATTAAAAAATTACATAGTCATTTTTTTGTAATAAATAATTTATAAAAAAAAATAGCAAATTTTTATCTATTAACAATCATGAATTTCATAAAATATTTAATTAATTAATTTTTTTATCAAAAATTACCCGATATTTTTTGTTTTTAGCATTAGTTATCTTATGATCAATAATAAAAAAAGAAAACAATCATTTATAATGATTGTTCAATTTTCTATAATAAAAATTTGATGAAACCTGCAAATACAGCAGGCATCAACATTTTTTGTATTAAAAATGAAAATATCTATAATTACAATAATTATGATGAATAATAAATCTTTTCAAAAATTCTGTCAATCATTTTTTTATAAATACTATCAATTAATTCAACAAAAAAAAAATAAAATGATTGGTTACAATCAGTTGTCTGCTTTGTTTTCAATGTCATAAAAAATTTGTCAACAACTTACTCACTAACAACTAAAAATATTGAAAATAATCTATGTCATTGGACAATTTATATGAATTATTATACTCACACCTAGACTTCACATAATTATCATCAATGAAAATCAAATCAGTAATCATTTACCACAAATAAATAATTTTTTTTTTAGATTCCACAGCTGTTCCTGTTTGTCTCATGTCGGGCGTCATCTCGTCTTTTTCTTATCTCCTTGACTACGAAGATGGCGAGCATGATTATACGAGGGAAAATGCACGTCGCTGATTGGGCATCCTAGAGCAACTAGCGCCACGCAAAACGCGAGAAACTTAAACTAAAAATCTATACCAAGAAACGAGTCCCTCTCATCGCCTTTCTCTTTTCTTTTTAAAAAAGTATTGAAGTGGTGAGTAGTGGGAGAATTTGTTGTTCTCACACACGATTCACGACTCACGCATTTGTCCCTCTACTCTACAGCTCGTTATTTATTTAACACACTAATATTAACTACACACATCACAGTATGTGAACAATCAGCCAATTGACATTGACAACTAAAAATCGCTCCACCGTTATTCAAAGTGTCACTGGGTTCAAATAATTACAAGTAGAAATTCATTATTTTTATTTTATAATTAGTTTGTAACATTCTTTAATCAACAATCTGGTTGATAGATTTCAGGTTATTATTTTTTTTATTCTACTTCTTCATTCGATATGTACAATACTAATAAGAAATCGTTCGAAAATAATTTTATGTTATAAGTATGCTTACCTACTAATTATTTTAATTGTTCCTTACAATTTTTTTTTGTTTTAAAAATACATTCATACCACAGTTTTTTTATTTAAGATTTTATAAAATTGATTCTTTGTTTATTTGTTTGTGATTCACAAACAAAGTACACAAAAGAAAAATTATTCATAATAATTTTACAGACAATAAATTTCTAGTTTTTTATTTTTCTAACAATAAAGTTTATTTTATGAATTTTTATTATTATTGTTATTGATAATGATAATAATCTTTATTTTTTTATAGGTAGCTTGAGAAAATATAAATAAAATTTTATTTGTTTTGAAAATATTAATTTGTAATGATCACAAATTTAAAATATAAGAAAAAAATGTGACTTGTGTGAAGTTAATTCAAAAAAGTTCATTCACTTATATATATAATTAACAAACTGGAGTTTAATATTCATTTTTTTTTTTTTTTTTTTACTAAAAGAAAAATTGCTTTCAAGTTATTAAAAAAAAATTTCAGTCGCAATCTCTTACAAATATTGATAAATTTCAATTTTTATTATTTTCAATAATAATAATAATAATAATTTTTATTTCAGCCATTTATTAACCATGTGGCTTAACAAATACTCAGCACATCTGATGGACCAATTGTTTGACGACTTGATAAAAGAATTGAAATACATAGCGCCTGGAGCACGATTATCCTACTCGATTCGAAATCGTCTGGAGCATCACAAAAAATTTATACGGAAAGAAATAGTTAGTCGTATAAAGGATGATTGTGCCCCATTATTTATTGCCTGCAAAAGAGGTCACGTGGAGATTGTTGAATACCTGATAACAGTGTGCAACGCAGACATTGAACAACGTGGGATGTATGAAGTACCTGATGATAGATCTGTTCACTATGTGACACCTCTATGGTGTGCTGCCGTTGCTGGTAAACTGCCTGTCCTGAAGTGTCTTGTGTCCCATGGAGCCGACGTCAATGCTATGTCTGATACCGGATCGACACCCGTCAGATCAGCATGTTTTATGACACACTTAGGTAATTAATTTGAATAATTTTAATTATGCAAGTTTTTATTTTATAATTAGACTGAGACTTTCAAGGGAGTCGTTCAAGGGAATTTTCAATTATTTTTATTGCTATCATTATTAATTAATTAAATAATTATTAATAAATACCTTATGTTTTCAGATATCGTTGAATATTTAGTTGAAAATGGTGCTGATATACTACTAGCTAATTATAATGGTGGTACATGTTTGATAAATTCTGTTCAAAGTGTTGAATTGTGTACATTTTTATTGAGAAATGGTGCTGATGTAAATGCACGAGATATCCAAAATAAGACTGCCTTACATTATGCAATACAAGAGCATAGATTTGATACAACAAAATTACTTTTAGCGTACAATGCCGATCCACATTTGAGATCAAGATATAATGATGATGCATTACAAACAGCCTGTCTCAAGGAGGCTACGCAAATATTTGATTATTTAAGTAATTATCATAAATATTTATGAATTTAAATCCATAATTTATTTTCAGTGTGCTCGTTGAATAATATTTCAATGATCATACACTTTTCATTACAACTTTAATACACATAATATTAATTTTTTTAATAGAATTGATAAACAACTAATATTTATATAATTATAATTTATTCACAGTTGAAAATGTTAATTATTCAGCAGAAAGTCTAGCAAATGCTCATGAATTAATGGGTTCAACATTTTTCGATGAACACAACGATGCACAGACAGCATTAAAGTACTGGCGTAAAGCAATGGCGATAAGAAATGCTAATCTAGTCGATAATCAACCGCTGCCGAAGAAACCACAGATGCCAAAGAGAGATTGTTTTAGAAATATCATTGAGTTTTCTACCCTAGATGAACTTAACACTATCGCTTATGATCTAGACGCAATACGGATACAGAGTTTACTTATTTGCGAACGGATCCTCGGAGAACACCACAAGGACACACTTTATAGACTGATGTTCCGGGGTGCAGCTTACGCTGACGCTTTACGGTAATTTGTTCAATAATTATTCATTATTTTCTTAAACGTTATTAAATATATTTTCATTAATTATTTTTGTAGATATCAATATTGTATTGATTTATGGCGCCGTGCGTTAGAAATTCGTGTTAAAAATGATTCCGTAGGTTTATCATTTTTTTTAAATGACAATGGTATTTCCAGTATTATGTTTATTGATTTATTTTTTCTTTTATTTTAGATACTTTATACAGATACGTGTTTCACTGCACAAGCTATTGTCAGGATTATGATTGATCTAAATGAATCAATTGATCAGAATGGTGATAAAGAAGGTCCAAAATATTCAGATATTGTTGGAGTTTTCAAATTACTTTCTTGCCAAATTGCTGAAGCAAGACAATGGCTGCAGGTATTAATTACAGTTATATTTAAATTTATGTCATTTTTTTACAAAATTAAATTTTTTTAGCAACGTCCTATTCATAAAAAACAACAAGACAATTACGATCGTATATTAAAATGTATAACTCATTTAATATACTTACTAATAAAAACCGCGCAAACTGAAGAACAAAAGGTAGAAGTCCGTCAACTTGTGTATAAATTAGTTAAACAGAATCCTCGATCAACGTCTACTGGTGACACACTACTACACTTGTGTGTATCAAGTTCAAATACCATTACGTCAAGTTACTTCAACTCTGAAGTCACCCAGGTATCAAACTATTCATTTAATTAAAATTATAACTATATCCTTTGTTTCCAATTAATAATTAACACAATATGATTGTTCTTTAGATAATTTTTCCGGAAATAGACGTGGTGACTCTGCTGCTCGAATGTGGTGCTTACGTAAATGCTAAAAACGAACTTCGCTCGACTCCGCTTCATGTAGCAAGTAACGCTTACAATTTTCATAATCCTTTGATAAAAATTTTGCTCGACTATGGTGCGCACTTGGATATCCCGAATCGCCTTGGCGACACTCCAGCGCGTTTGATATCCTCAAACCCTAATAACAATGTTAATCTCGTTAATTATATGACACTGTGCTGTTACGCAGCCCAGGCAATTTTCAAATACGGAATTCCCCGAAAAGATTTACCGCTGACGTTACACCAATTCTTGGAATTCCATCGAGAATAAAAGAAAGTTATTACGAATTTATTAAGTACTATAAATATAAAATTAATTTTTAAATATAAATTATGAATATATCATGTCTTCTAAATAATCAGCGAATTATATGGTAAAGGATCAATATATATATATATATATATATATATATATATATATATATATATTGTATTAAAAAAATCTATCTATACACAAAAAATATACGTATTATATTGATGAAAAGAGACAAATTGAGAGAATAATTAAATTTTTAAGTATTGGCTTTTTAGTTTATTGATTACTTACATATTTAACAAAATTTTAATATTGTTAAATAATTTTTCAAAGACTGTTTTATTAATTTTTATTGTTTCTCTTTGTCTTTATTATAATTATATTAATTTAAAAAAATTATTAATTACTTCACAAGTATCGTTGCTAAAAATATCAAATATTATTATAACTATTATTATTAATGAAATAAAGAAAGATCTAATACAAGATCTGAGTGATAAATATACAACTTAAGTGATAACTTAACTATAACATAAAAATAAAGTCGACTTATTCACGTTAAAAATAACATTCAAAAATTGCTCTTTACTTCGTTAATTTTTAGTTAATAAATTTTAAGTCGTTAAGCGCTAGCTTCAAATTTTCATTATTTACAAGCTCTTACAACTAAAATTTATCATTATTAGTTATTAATATTTATTAAAAATTTACGTCTTAATAAATTGAGGAATTTAATTAAAGTATACTGAAATTTATACAGTTCAAAAAAATAGTATAAAAAGTGTAATGACTAATAACGATCTGGTAGATGTTAAGACAATGGTGCTACTCCCACTTATACGGATGTAAGCGTCTACAACGTGAATCTTCCAGCCCATATTCGCGTGGGTGAACGAGTGATAGTAAACAGTGTCAGGCCAACTTGAATTTGGAGTTACTTCTAGTATTCCACCGTCACCTTTAATTTAAAAAAAATTATTTAATTACATAATATAAAAAAAATCACTAAAACCAATTAACGTATCAAAACCGTCATCATGATTAAAATTAATCAAATTGATTCTTAAGATAATAAAAAAATTACCTGGTTCGCAGACGTGAATTAAAGTTCGATTGAATTTTTGGAAGCTCAAAAAATCATCATCGAGCCTTCGGTCACGTTCCCCGTGTTTACTCAGACAAAGCGGACCTACGGCAGTCGGCCTGGGCCTACCACGTCTAGTAAATTCAACACCAGCAAGTACTCGAACCTGTGCTTGCGCTACATCAGAAAGTCTGTCATACCCGCCGTGAATCTCATCAGTGATAATAAACGGATGATAAAAGTTAGGACTGTGAGGATTATTTCCACCGTAGACTCGGAAGCTGTAGGTCAGCCCGCGACGTAAATAAATTTCTGGCGACATTAGCCCATTCAAGTACCAGACGTAGCCCATGGAAGTCAGACCAGTCATTCCTTGGTACCCTTTTTTTCCTCCAGAAGGTCCTATCGTTGCCTTGAATGATCTGATACTCCGGTCAAATATGTCAAACTTCTCCCAAGGCTCTGTATATTTTTTATTAAGCTCCGTAAAGTCAGAGCATGTATTCTCCGGCTCAGCTCGATTCAATTCAAGTTTCAAACTGGTTTTAGGATAATAATCATGGAAATTAGGCTCTTTGTTTTCGTCTAAACGACCTAGAGACCAGACCACGTAAACTGGACGGTCCGTTGGATATGGCTTGTCCCCAGAGTCAGCTAAAATTTTTAAATCAAAATTATAATTACTGATTAATTGATAATTAATTATTAAAAAGTGTTTACTTACGAGAAATAAGATTGCGACGATAAGTAATTGTGGTTATTCCATTTTCCTTTACTGCGGTGTAAAATTGATTGCTTTCGGTACCTCCGACTAGCTCGTCTTTACACACGCCCTTGTATTGACCTAGCGTCTTACCACAAGGCGCTTTTGAAGTAATATTGTAATCAGTTGCATACCCACGTACATCATCCATGTAAGCAATAGTGACATCAGCACCTTCCATTTGACTTTTCTCTTCAGATCCAGATAATCCGAATCCCATGTACTCATCATCGCCTTAAAATTATTCGCTTTTAATTCAATTTACTCAAAAAACATTAAATTAATTTAATAATTACCAATTTGACCGGATAATTGAATCGTTATTTGTGGTCCAAATATTTCCCAGCTAACCTGATAATTTTTATGCAACTGCACACAATTTGGCAATGTCGACATTGTTTTAATAGCCTAAAAAAAATTCATAGTCTCTAAAAACAATCTCACTGGAAATTTAATTACAATTTTAAATAAAAAATTGTAGTAAAATAATAAATACCTTGACCAAAGAAGGTGGAACGTTCAATCCTTCAGGAATTATCACAGACCCATAATTACTTCTCGTGCTGAGGTCAAAAATACTCAGCCAATTTATCTGAAAGACGGTCATTTCACCGGGAAGTTGAATGATTATATCTTCGCCTTTGTATTCTCTCAGTGAATCTAAACTATTGACAAATAAATAAGTAATTATAGTCATAATGATTAAAATTTAAAATGACACTACTATTTATGATATAAATTTTTCTATCAATAAACTTAAGACTGCTACTTACTATCCATAGTCATCAGGTACTTTGACACCTTTGCTAGAGGGTTGGGCACCGGAACCAACCCAAAAGTACGTATCATTACCTTTGCCATCGTACTGGAACCGCGGAATGCTAATTGTTTTTGCGTCTAAGATGACAATCGGGTCTGAGGTCACTCCGTGTGATCTTCGCGATAGTTGAGAAATCTTCTGCGGTGCCGGTGGCTCGAATTCTTCGGGAATATATACATCACCAAATGTATTCTACGATATCAGGTATAAATTATAGATTAATTATATACATTTTAATTAGCTAACTCATGTTTAGAATAATTACCTGCGACCCAATATCATAAACGGCAAGCCATTTGATATCTGTTATTTTTTTATTGTCCGGTAATGTTAATGTGAAGTCTTTGTTGAAGTAACGATCTAATATATTAGTTCTGTTGAGTAAAATAAATTATAATAAAGAAAATATATATATATATATATATATATGTATTAATTATTTATAATTTATAACAATAAACATATTGTGATTATTGATAAAAGCGGTTTTTTTTTATCACACTCACTTTCCCCACTCATCCGGAACAATAAATCCTTGCGGGCCAGGACGATTTGACGCACCAGCCCAGAAGAATGCGTCAGCGCCATTTCCGTCGTAATTGAATGAGGTTAGAAGTAATGTGTATTCATCGACGGCGTGAACTTCTCCAGATACTTGGTGGTGATATGCATTAAATTTTCCTAAAGCTTTTCCTTTATATTCTTCTTCAGGCTCTTGTGATATTACTGTAATAAAATTGTAAAATTTTTGAAACTACAGATGAGTTTTTTTTTTTTTTATTCGTTTCAGGTACTTTGAAATAGTTTGTAAATTTTGTGAGCACTTTTTATTTCTTCTTTATAATTGTTTTGACAAATAATGAATATATTTTTGTGACAGATTTTTTTTTAATTTATAAAAAAAATTTAAATATTGTAAAGAAAATTTTTAAATTAACCAAAGAGAAATTTCAAAAGTTTACATTGTTAATATTTAATTTAAAAAAATTGGATGACTTTAAAGAAGAAAACATGACCTCTGCATCACAAAATTCTAACGAATGAAAAAAATTTATGATTAAAACTACAATTTTTACTCTAAAATTGTAGTAAGTATCAGGAAGAAATATCAATATTTGTCAAATAATTTTTTAATACAAATTAACGAATTAAAACAAATAATTTTTTTATAATCTTCAATATTAAAAGCAATAACAATATTACATTGTTTCTTCTACAAAATTGAATGGAAATTAACTTTCAAATGAAAGAAATTATTTACATTAAATATATTTTAATGAACAATACATGAATAAATTAATATATCTTATAGATCGATAATTAATAACTTTTATTACGTAATATAGAATTATATGTATATTGTAAGTAATTGTTATCATAAATTTTTTACACTTAGTAATTGTATCATAAACTTACCAATCGGTATTAACATTAAAACAACAAACAAGCCACATATTTTGAACATTTTAAAAGTATAAACAAACTAAACTAGATAACAAACTATGACATTGTTTGGGTGTTTAAACTGTCTTGAGACCCATATGGGGATTTTTTCGTTGGAACCTCTAAAAAGAGATGGTTAACACAAATGATCTTGGACCTTGACCAAGGATAAAACGATAATAAATTATTAAAATAGCTATACATAAAGATATAACTAAGTTACATATACATACGAGTATGCTATACGTTTAATGAGAAAGTAAGATAAAGATGTTAGATTTTATTCGAATGGTTAATAGTTGAAGTACTTGAGCTGACTGAAGAATAACTCCAAAGAGAAAGTACGCAGGGTATCTGACAAAACAACTATTCTGTTGATTGCCTTGAGAAAAAAAAACCGTTATTTCCGTTACATCTTCAAATAAAAATATTTATTTTTATTTTTTATTTGTAATTTTTGTATATTAATCTATTAATCTATTTTTATAAAAATATTTACTAAAAAATTGAATAAGATTTGATGAAGATTTTTTTCTGTATTTAAATTTGAATTTTTTACTGATTTGAAAATTCTTTGTGCTACTCGGTAACTCTAATTAAACCTGAAAATAAAATAATTTTTGTAACAAAATTGATGAAAATAAATTTGTGATGAAAATTTTAATTTATAAACTTTTTACCGAATTAAAAGTAATGAATAATTTTTAGCAAAATTTAAAAAATTTTCTTGCGCATGCGTTTTGATCTTTACTGCTGTGAGTATTGTGTCGAGTTGGAACTTGCTACATATTTACATTTTACATATGTCTGACAGCCCAATACTATAACGAGGAGATATGGCTTTAAAAGACAACAATCTGCCTGTTTTATATGGCGAATTAAACAAACTAGGACACAGTGGTGACTATGAAAGAGCGCTAAAAGTTGCTCATAAAAGTAAGTAGAAAAAATCTTTCTCTTACTTTCAATCACTTATCATACAAATTACTCCAAAAGTAACCTCTAAAAATAACATCTACATTATAAAGAAATTTTAAATTTTCCAAGTTGAAACTTAAAACTTAAAAAATTAACATAAATAATTTATAGTTCTAGCATTTATTCAAGATGATGAAGCTGCTCTGCATTGTAAAATAATTTGTCTCATTCAATTATCGAAATTTAATGATGCGCTTCAACTTATATCTAGATATGGAAAACAAACCAGGTTTGAAGTTTATTAATTTTATTATTTATTAAAACTTTATTATTAACAAAGTTTATTAATTATTATTATTATTGTTGTTGTTGTAAAAATTATATAAAGCCAACTCCAATTCAATCTTAAGATAAATTATTAGATTTTATTTATCATAGCATTTCGGCATGAATCCATGCTATCGTCACAATAAAGTTTTTTTTTTTTAAATACTAAAAAGAAAATATATTGTTAATGATATAAGTAGTTTAATTGATTAAAATTTTGTTCAACCGTTAAAAACACTAGAAATGTCGTGATACATAAAATTAAATAATTGATATGTCAAAAATTGGATTAGGATTGACTTAATATAATTTTTATAACTACAAACTTACCAATTTTTCGACAATAATTTAATTTAATTTAATATTATTATTATTATTATTATTATTATTTTAATTTACATATTTATTTTTTTAGTAACTGGGAATTTGAAAAGTCCTACTGCTTATACCGACTGAACCAAGTCCCCGAAGCATTAGCAGTAGTCGAAAAAGTATCTAACCCATCACTAAAACTGAAAGAATTAAAAGCGCAAATTCTCTACCGTTTAGAAAAATACGAGGAATGTTTTGCAGTTTACCGTGACATTATTAAAAACTCAGACGATGAGTATGAAGACGAGCGCGAGACAAACTTAGCCGCTGTCATCGTAAACTTGACATCCGAGCGATCTAAACTCGACGTCCCACAGTTAAAAGAGCACACCTATGAGCTGACCTACAACGCAGCATGTCGATTAATCGAGCAAGGAAGCTTCGGTGACCGGGTAGTTTTAGCAGAAGCGGAGAAGAAGCTAAGAGCTGCCGAGAAAATGTGCAAAGAAGCCCTCGAAGAAGACGCTACCGAAAGCGAGATCGACAATGAGGTAGGAATCATCCGAGTCCAACTCGGTTACTGCCTACAGCTCCAAGGCCGCGAAAAAGAGGCTCAAGCTCTCTATATGAATGCGCTTAAAATGAAACCGGATGACATCGCACTCGCTGCTGTTGCTAGTAACAATCTTGTCACCTTGAACAAAGATCATAATGTCTTCAGCAGCAAGAAGCGCATGAAAAGCGCCACCCTGGAGGGTCTCGAACACAAGCTTACTTCCCGGCAGCGTAAAAGTATCGCTTACAATCAGTGTTTGCTTGCATTGTATACAAACCAGGGCGAGCAGTGTCAGAAGCTTTGCGGGAAGCTGGTCAAGGATTATCCAGACATGCAGAAGGACGCGAGTTTCGTCCAGGCTGTGCAGCTCGGCAAGGAAGCCAAGGTCCAGGAAGCGGTCGACTTACTGCTGAACAATTTGAATCCTAATAATGATTTATGTATGAGGCTAGCATGTGTTCAGCTTTTGCTCCAGCAAGGCGAGCGCAAAAAGGCGATTGAAATTTTAGAAAATTTGAATGAACGCGATCGTTCATTATCGGGAGTAGTCAGTGCTCTGGTTACTTTGCACATGGCGGAAAATAACCGGGAACGCGCTTCTGCAGTTCTCAAGGACGCGGTTAATTACTACAAAAATAACAAAGAAAATACTGGAGATTTAGGAACTCTCTGGCGTCAAGCTGCTGACTTCCATCTCCGTGGTGGGGAAGTAGCAGTCGCTGCTGCGAGTCTCGAAGCGCTTCTAGAGGCTTCACCGAACGACACCAAGACATTGGCGCAGCTTATAGTCGCGTATTCCAAGTTCTCGCCGGGAAAAGCACAGGCACTTTCTAAACAACTGCCTCCACTGGACCAGGTCGCTGGGGTGATTGATGTTGATGCACTAGAGAGTAGTAACTGGGTCATTGGGACGAAGGTTATCAAGAGAAAAGTTGAACCTTCGCCAGGGAAACCTGGAACGGATTCGGCTCAAAAGATTAAGAAGACCAAGAAAAGAAAGAGGAAGGGAAAATTACCGAAGAACTATGACCCCTCGGTAGCGCCTGATCCGGAGAGATGGTTGCCTAGACACGAGAGAAGTAGTTTTAGGAAGAAAAGGGACCGCAGGAATAGGGACACTGCCATGAAGGGAACTCAGGGAACTGCTGCGGGAGCTAGTGATCTTTATGACATCACCAAGATGCCGGCCAATGTGAAACCTTCGCCTAATCCAAGACATAGTCCTGCTGTGGAACCTGCTGGGCCTAGACAACAGCAGAGAAAAGTTCAGCAGAAGAAAAAGAAGAAAGGTGGTAAATGGTAGTTTGATTGATTTATAGGTTTTTTTGTTTATATTTGTACGAAATTAATTAAATGTAATCCTATTGCATAGGAGATTAATAAAAGAAGGCTAATTACATAATTTTTTTTTTATTTTTTGTGATCAATTCTGATGAATCAGGATTTGCTTGGTTATTGGTTTACTTATAGTTACTTTTTTTATTAATAACATTTCGCACAATGACTAGGTACTTGTAATACGTTTAAAAAAGTTTAGTAACAGCTTCATAGAAAAATATTATAACCTTTTTTGCAAAATTATAAGAGTTTCAGTTTTGAATTACAGATGCGGGAGGGCGATTTTTAGTGTAAGTTGTTATTGAATTATATGAGATTGTTTAAGAGTAAATATTTCTTTTTTTAAAATTGTAAATTTTTACAAATTATTGAACTATCAAAAGTTATCAAGCGATAATTTTTTATTTCAAGCACAAAAATTATATACTTGAAGTAAAATTAAAACTTGTCTATTTCAATGATTTTAAAAAAAAATTTTTTTAACATTTCGGGCACCTGTAATGCGATTATCGATCATTTCATTATTGATTGTGCGTAACATGTAATTAATAAAATTACAAAACTTTCATTATTTAAAACGTACAGTAATATTTATTAAGTTTTTCTTTAGATTAAAAAATTTTTAATTTAAAGAAAAGATACATTAAACTACGCAACACAAATTAACATTAAATCGTTGTATACTATACCTTTAAAGTTTACTTAACAAGAGATCTAGTGGCTTTATAGTTACTTTGTCCATTTTATACTTTTTCAGGTTTTATTGTCGTAGATATTTAACATTTTGGCTATAAATTTGTGTATTTATTATTAATAGTATAATATTATTATGATACTAGTGATATATCAGAGGCAGTTTTTTGAGGTAAAAATGAAACTTTTAATAAATTTTCTCTCTATTACCTTTTTCCAACATTACATCAGGCGTTTTTCAATAAACGCGCTGCATTTAAACTCTTATAAAGTATATAACTTTGCATACTAAACAGATAATTGATACTTTTATCAAATTACTTGCTAGTTTATCTCGATAGTTTTTAAATATTATTGTTTATTCACAATTAATAAGTTATTTAAAATATCATCTTTGATTTACTAACATTGCAATTAAATAAATACTGCCACACTCATCTACTGGCAAAAAAACATGGATATTTTTCCATCATAAAAAAAAAAAAACAATCCGCTTTGTGAAACTTAATTACTAAGTTAATTAAGATGAGTAAGGCACATATGTATACACTTAATTGTACATTGATATTAAATTTCACACTTTAAAATTATCCGTCAACAATTACTATAATCATTATTTTTATTGTTACTGATTTGTAGTTTTAAAACTAAGTCAATAACTGTCAAATAGTTAAAAATTCTTTTTTAATTATTTCTTAAGTTTAAAATGTGAAATTTACCGATTTATGAAATACCACAATTAATTATCATCATTTTTGGGCAATAATACCTTCCCAAATATCTTCACGTTGTTTGGCAGCCAATCTGCGTCGCTCTGAAAAATAAATAGTTTATTTTTATATTTTTATAAAAATAAATTGCGAATGTAAAAAAATACGAGTCGTGTTATAATACATCAATATATTGATATAAATGACAGAGAAATAATTTTCTCAAATAATCCATGGTGTCATTACCCTTAGCTTCACGCAATACAACTTTCTCGTGTTCTCTTTCTTGTCTAGCAGTTGCCAATCTCACACCAAGAGCCCCAGTAACGAGCCGTCTAGCAAGCGCTGCACATGTTTCAGGTCTACTTCTGTAAGGTTGTAAAAATTCAGCGCTCCTTTTGGCTTTTGTTTTGCTCAAGGCCGTTGCTTCACTCAGAGGACGTGTTTTAACAAAAGCATGATCTGATGCCAATACTTCAGCAGCTGAAATTTAATTATTCTAAATTAAAACTTATTTAGAAAAAAAGTCTTTAAAAAAATGGTAAAATTTCATAAATGGTGTTTCATAAAAAACAAAAAAAAAATTAAATTAAATAATCTACATTAGATAGTAAAGTGACACGTGTAGGAGTATTGCATAATTTAAGCTTGTTAGTAAGTAGAAAGCGACTCAAACAAAATTGTCCTACTTTCAGCTTTGATCCACAGTAATCTATTAAGTAATAAATTATTCACAGAAAATGGTGAGATATAAGTTAAATATTACCTCAGTGTCAAAAAAAATTTTTTACACTAAAATTTCTCAATCCTTCAGTAAATGATTTGACGAGGTAATGAGAACTAGCGAATCTTATAACTTATAACTAAAACAAAATGACGAAAGTGATTATTTATTTACCTACGAGAGGACTACTAAATACACCCAGACAATGAGTATCATCGACCCACTTGAGTTCAAAACCACCGTTCTTGAAAGGACTGAACACGGTTGCAAGATCACTTGTCTTGAAGTCTGATGGAAAGTTGTAAATTTCTACAACATGCCCAAATTCGTCGTTAGATACCTCGACAGGTCTACTAAATGCTTTGTAGTCGTTTTTTGGTTGCTCTATCGTCACTTCTCCCACGGCTTCCGTCAACTATTTACAGAATAAAGGAAAAACATTATTATTTATTCAAACAAGCAATTAAATAACACATTAATGAGTAAATATTTATAATTTGTAATTTACCTCCTCAATTAATGTGGGATCTAAGCACTCGCCATTGTCATCAAAGAGACTGTCCCAATCGCACTCATCGCGGTTTATTTTAACTGGCGGTGACGGAGGTGACGCAGGTTTGCTCTTAGTCCTGGCAACTTTCTTCGGTTTTTTTTCCGGTAGTCTCAACGGCGAGACATTTGTCGTCGATGATAAGCCATCATTTTCCTGATCAACTTCCGTCTTCTTATTAACAATTGCACTCTCGGTATTATCACTTGTTGATATTCTTAAAACATCCGATACTAAGTTTCTAGGCTTAATAATATTACTACATTTCTGCTTGTCTACGCCATCTTCAACGTTTAATTTATCCTCACACATTTCTGTGTCTTCAATGCACTCATCAGAGTTAAAATGCCCTTTTAAGTTTGAACTATCTACTGACTCTGACTCAACTTCTACTTCTACGTTTTTTTCTTTTACTTTTACTTCCGAGTTAACATCCAAGTCAGCTACTTCTTTAACCGTGAGAGTTTCCGCGTTCGCTGAATTTTTAATCTCAACGGGACTGATTTGACTGGAATTTTCCTCTGTGGGTTCAGATGAAAGAGATTTCGCAGATTTAGATCTTCGAGTGTTTTTCGTCGATGGATTTTCATTTTGTGAATCATCGACACTTCGACGCTGTTTTGGGACATACACTGCTCGATCTGGTCGTCTTTGTTTCGTTCTAAATTCATATTTTTCATCAATAAATAAATTGTCTAATTCATAATACTAATAGTTATTTAATAAATATAAATAAATAAATAAATTTACTTTGTTTGTGATGATTCTGTAGAGGTAGTTGGAGTTTGTAATCTTCTAGCTGCTGGTGGCCGGTAAATTTCAACAGCTGGGGTCGATTTAACTGCAATTTTTTAAGTTGTCATTAATTATCTATATAATTAAGAAAGTAAGAATAATTTTGTGATGAGCATATTTTTATTGTGAAACTTTTAAGGTTTAATTTGATACCACTGGATAGGTCTTCAATTTTTGCTTTTTAATTTTTTAGTGTATTTTTTTACTAATAGTCCATTTTTTGTGTTAGGTTTTTGAAGCAATTTTTAATAGTTTGCTGATTCTATTAGATTATATAAATGATTGATTATTGATTATTGATCTTATCATCGTGATAATAATTATAAAATTTATTCAAAAAATACCCAAATATTGTATAGTGATTAAAAAATCATTGATTTTAAGTTTTTTCTTGATCACAATTAGTAATTTTCGGCAGTCAAATAGTGTTAATAATTTGTAACTATTTAATATTATAATTTTTCAATCTTATCTATTAAATAAAAGTCATTACCTGGTTTTTGTTTAGAATTATCGATAGATGTTAAAGGTCCCTCAACGCCCATATTAGATTTCCAAGTTTTAAGCTCACTTTTGTTTCTTGATTGGACACCATCCAACTGAAACTCTCTATTAAAAAAATTAATCAATTATAATTAAAAAAAGTGATAATAATAAACAATAAAATAAAATACTTCAAGAAGTCTCTCTTGAAACAAACGACAGTCCTCCTCTCGTATCCTTGCCCAATAGAAAAAGTACTAAGTTCTTGAAAATTGTTTTGCACAATCGAGTGAATTAAGAACCTTCTGTAATTATTAACCGGTGGAAAAACAAGTACTCTGCAAATTAAAACAAACGAAACAATTAAATAATGATCAATCAATTGCAATTGATTAGTGTCGAAATTGATAAAATTAAAAAATGAAAAGTTGTTAATTTTGAAAGTAAAACTCGCATCAGAACGAGTTCCGTGCCCTCTACTCTGTCAGCTTCCAATACGGGGATCGTGTGATTAATTTGTTATAGATTTAAAATAAATACATATTAATAATTATAAGAAAAATAATAACACATTTACTGAGAGGATGTGGTGAACGTAATACAAAACGAGCAGTAGTTGGTATCGAGTGTAGTATAATACTACACACTACACACCACAGAATATGCAACTAGATTGTCTACAAAAACCCCACCGTCAAGATCCACAACACGTTATAACCTTTTACATAACTCCGTTAACTTTCTCTTTCGTTGGCTTCCTCATACATATACATAGACACACACACACACACACACACACACACACACACACATATATATATATATATATATATATATATATATATATATATATATAACTGTATTAAAAATTGCCATTTATTTATTTATTACCAAACGATAGGTCAGCTGATAGCACTTGTTATTTACCGTCACTTTTTTTTATTAAAAAAAGAAAAAAAAATACATAATCGATTATGCAAAGACAATAAAATTCATTATTCTAGTTTTTTAATCAACAATTGTCTGAAAAAAAAAATTTATTGCCGATCGTAAAAATTCACGTAACAGAGCGCAAAAATTCCTTAACGCTGAATTACATATTTAAGATTTTATAATTATTAAGATTAGAATAAAAAGTTTCTTATTAAAAAATACGGGTAAGTTTCCTATCATTGAAATATATTAATTTGCTAGTTATTTATATAATTGAAAATAACTTGTATGTTACCCGGTCGTATATTTTCTTTGCGGTGTATTCTTATGTTAACGGTAACTTGTAACTATCGATGCAGATGGATATATATGTATATATATGTATGTAAAATATATATGGGCGCAGATACCGTAGATACGGTGAATAAACCAGCCTCTCATTTTTTATTAGCATAGCAAATGAAATTAAACATTCTCCGAATGTCTATTAAGCTGTAACAGATCGGGTTTATTATGAATACGACCTAATTGCGTAATTGTTTTAGTTATCAAACGCCACGTGAAATAAATAAACAAAAACATTAATCGTTTTATAACTTTCCTTCATAATATTGTCGTAAATCATAAGTCTTTAATAAAAAAGAAAATCTATTAAATTGCATTGCTTATTATTATTGATCACTACTTACATGGATATTGATATTTAAATTAATGTCAAAAATTTTCAATATTATTTTTTTCACCTGAATAAATTTGGGTTTTAATATTTATATAATAAATTATGTAAAAATTTTTTACATTTCATAGACAAATTTTTTTTTTCCATATAATTAACTATAATTATAGTTTTAATTTTTTTAACATTACTTTGAATCAAAATTGAAATTAGAAATTGATCACACCCAGTAGTAAAAAAATGTTTGCAATAAACAATATCGGAAAAATTAAAAAAAAAATATTTACGTTGAAATTCATCCAAAAATATCTTTTTTTCTTTTTTAAAATATAAATAATTTTATTTTGATTAGCAAAAATGCTTATAAATATTGTTCATTATTTGGAAGAAAAAAATAAACCTAGGTAACGGTTACTCACCTCTTACGAGTATTATTTTTGGCAAATAATGTTACGTCGTATTCGACTTCTTCTGCAAAAAGACTGTCTTGAAGACTCATCTATCTAATAAGTAACTAATGGAAATGGCGTACTTAAAATATAGCATTCAATTGTTATAACTTCTTTAATAATAATAATTATTGTTACTAATATATTTATATTATTGCTGTTTTTCTTAAAAACGATAAATGCCGTTTTTCTTCACTACAAATAAAATATATTTGGAATCGTATTTTTATCAATAAACGTAGAGGTTAAATCCATTTGGTCTTGTTTACGATATTATAATATCTGTACACTTGGTATATAGTTGCCATTACTCGTATATCACATCACACACTGTTAACTCTGAACTGTAACTCGTAACGTTTTCATGGTGTGGTCTGTGGTGTATGAAAGGTGACATGTGTGTGTTGAGTAAGTACTTATGTATTATGTATATCAATTTACATGTATATGTATACATAAGGTACACTACGGACATTAAATTTTTACACACGCAACAAGCAACGTTCATTGTTCTATTCAAGAGAATTTAGTAGAGGGAGGAAATGCGCGCGCAGAATTTTTTAAATGCGCGCGCATTTTTTCAAATTGCGCGCTACTTTTAAAATTGGTTAGTAGGATCCAAGTTAATTTCTAATGATTTTTTTATAAATTTTTAAAACGCTGCTAAATTTTGTAAAAAATAATTGAAAATTATAATTTTCCACTTAAGATTAAATTTCAGTTTTTAATAAAGTAAATCTTAGAATAAGTAAAACTTAAATTACTGTACAAAACATATTTATTTAATATAATAATTTATAGTGACACACAGTGTACAATAAACAAGCTTTTACAATTTCGTATGCCTCTAATTACGAAATTGCTTATTATTTATTTATAACCCTTTTTGAAATAGTTTTATTTTACCAAACTCTATCAATTTTTTGAATTATTTTTTATCTCAATCTGATATATCTTTAGTTAAAATTAATATATTTTATATTTATATACAATCACACACTTGCTTAACGATATACCCGGTTCTGTTTTTTATAATTATTAACTAATTAAAATTAATATATTTTCCTTCAAGCGGTAACGTATCAAAGTTTATTTAGAATTTCATTAACCGGATAAGTCAAAAAATATTTCAATACGTTTTTGAAAAATATTTCAAACTTCTTTTAGAACATGATTGTTATCTTAAATAAACTTTGATATACATGTACACGTGCATGAATATACAAAGTTATAAAAAAAAGTTTTTGACTTAGCTCTGAATTATATCAATATTTTGTTTTATATAAAGCAATCATTTTGTTGAAAATCGATTAAATGTAAATTCATTGTTTGGCTTAAATTAAAAAAAAACTAAGTCCATTGGGGTTTTTTTTTTTTTTTTTTTTTTTTTTTATATATACGGAATCAAAATAAACATGATTGAAGTTTTCAGTAGTCAATTAATTAAAAGCATATAATTTTTCAGTCAAAAATATAAAATAAAATTAATGTACACTTAAATAATAAATTGCTTTTTAAGAATGTTTTCGAAAAACTAAAGCCTTATAAAATAATCATAAAAAATAAAAAGATTATTAATTGAAACGAGAAAATTATATTAATTCTTTAAAACTATCGTCCCGTATTTAAAATTCCTCAAAATGTTCACACTTATCATTAAAACAATAATCAATAATATGCATATTGAATGAAAAATATAAATAATTAAATAATTAAATTCATGTCAATGCAAACAAAATACTTTGGGTGACTTGCTAACTTTTTTAAATACGCAATCAGTACTAAGATTGCTAATTAATAATAAATGATAAGTTAATGTCAAATAAAAATTGATTGGAAGAATTGTCGAATATCGACAAGTTGTTAAAATTTGAATAACTGTCGGTTCTCATTATCATTATTTCAAAATATAAAGTTTACTTAAATGTCTATTCTTGGTCGGTATTGTAATCGTAATGGTGGGTCCCGAAACCTCCATCGTGTCACGTAGACAAACTTTAATGTGTGGTCTTTACCTAACAATTCATCATTACACAGAATATCAATCTGAAATATTAAAATACAATAATTTTCAATAATCATGATAAGTATTGTTAATTAAAAGTAAGCTTATCAAAATACTAACGTCACGGTACTTTTCCATTCCATTCAACACTTTTTTGGCAATAAATTTCTTTAAATGTGTTATTGTAGCTTGAGCTGAGCATCTTATGAAACGTCGCTTTAGAGTTTTCAGATTAGTGTTAACACACTCCAAACATACGTTGACTTGTTCATCAGCACGATGATAATCAGCTTCAGCATGAGCATCTGCCGACGCTTTTTCATCTTCAACATCACCGGCGTTTGGTAACACGTCTTTTGGACATGGTAATCCACGAGCGCGATAAAATTCACGTTCTCTTTTTATTTCATCTATAAAAAAAAAAAAAAAAATTAGTAATTTATAACATTAAGTATGATTTCATACGTTTAAAATAATAAATTACTTTCTTGAAGATCAGGAACGAGCTTATAAACAATATCTTGCATAGTCCTGTCAAAACTTATGTATTGTAACGGATGGGACTGATGAATAACTATTTGGCATGTCGGACATGTATGTTTCTCCTCCAAGTGCTTAACTAAACAACTTTTACAAAATGTATGCAGGCACTCAGTGACCGTTGTTGCGTCAATTAAATAACCACGGCATATTTTACAGGTAATGTGGCTATTGAGAGTTTTTAATTTTATTCTTCTTTCCATGGCACCTGTGAGCACCATTTAATCTCTCACTCTATTGCAAATCTGTCAAACACAAAAGCAATTATTAGGTATAATATTAACCAACTTAATCAATAATTTTCATAGTTAAATATTAAAGTAAAAATTAAAATCTAGACTATGATTATAATAATTAAATAATAATACATATGTAATATGTAATAAATAAATAACAATGTTTGATTGTTGACACGTTGACACAAACAATTATAACTCTAAATGCTGTAGCTATTTTTTATCTTGCTATTGATAGTAGTTCGGATGAACTTTATGGCAATATGTATTGTGTGAAATTGATTAGTTGTTTTTTATTTGTTAACTTAAATGATTAACTTTATCGTTTCAAGAAAGTAGGTTATTGAATTGATTCTAACCTCAGCAGACTCGAGATCACCAAATCACCAGTTTAGTATTCATAGACTTGCTTTTACGATAAACTAATAAATATTTGTGTAAAGATTCATTTGGCCTTAGCTGTTATTTAAGAATTTTCTACTGGGGTCTTAACTAATAATTTTGAGTGGTTTTGTTCATGAGATTATGGAAAAATAATTATTCTGTTAAAGTTACAAGACTGATGAGATGACAACAGAAATGGATTTTTCGAGTGGCGACATCGGTGATGCGTTTGACGACTCTGAATTTACCGGCACTGGATGATGCGAGTGCGCCAGAATTTTGTTACCCTGCCCTGATAGCCAGCGCGCTTTCTCAGAGAGTAATATATATATATATATATATATATATATACACAATAAGAGACAATAATTTATGCCTGCTCGTGTTGCTTTGGTATCGATGAAAGTTTGGATTTATGAAAATTTGTCCAAATAAATATGAAAGTTTGTAAAAATTCTGATGAATATAAATGAATAAAAGCACAGAAAAATTTACGTATAATTGTATATAAATACAAATGATTCTATGTAAACTAGATCATCTATACAATTTTACAGTTGTTCATATGACCAACTGAACAAATAAAATTCCCTATTTTTAAAAATACGTACAACTAATAATATGTTTATTTGATTTCAATTCCAAAAGTATAAATTGAAAAATAAACATTACTATAAATGAAAATTTATAAATTGACTATTTAAAATAAAAAATATCATTTGAATAAATGATTAATAATACAAGTGTATAAAAAAATAAATGATACATTCACTTAATGAACTTATGTATTTAAAAAGATAGATCCGGATGTAAAAAAACTATTATAATTATTTGAACAAAAGAAATTGCGGATAAATAATCGTAATGAATAAATGCGTAGAAATGATTTTATGAATAAACGACATTATGATCATTAGTATTTTTAAGGTTGTGTATAAATAAACATTTGTAAACATGATGATCGGTACAAATGAAAGTTGGGGGTCATCTGAGTGATCCGAACGGACATGTAGCCAATGTAATAATTGTAAAGGAATTCAAAAAGTAACTTGCTCTCTAACAAGTTATATACATTTAATACTTCATACATAACACTTAATATAGGTCAAATAATAGTAAATTCAATGTAATAAAATACACACATTAAAACATTTAAATATCATATTTATGAAAAAAATTAAACTGTAACCCATGAAACATTACAAAAGAACGACAATTGATCTGCCTTCTAAGTTTTCTAAATCACAAGTCAGAAATTAGCTGTCGGTAAGGTAAATTTTGTTAGGTAACTGGCGGTGGAGAAAATTTAAATTATAAAAATTATACATCTAATTCGAACACAACCTTTTTATACTAAATAAGAATAATTCTTCTTGAAAATATTTATTGTTTTTATTTATTAAAATATATAAATATTGATTACTAAAATAAAAAAAAAATCGCTTATTTAATGGGAAATTATTTATTTTTATTTATAAAGTAATTTTTTTTTTTTAATTATATAAAATATTCAAATCAAACTGTTTTTTATTTGTTTCAACTTAAACTATTATTTATTTATACACCTTCTCAACATTTATCAATAATTACGTTCTTGTCATATATATATATATATATATATATATATATATATATATATATATATATATA